GCACGGTGGCGTATATTCGTGGAGGCCACCATGGATGGCCTGAAGTTCAACGACCAGAAGCAGAAGCTGCGGAGCCTCTACGAGCACGATCACGTGAAGCGGAAGCTGACGGAGCTCGTGTGCCGGATCCAGTTCGTTGCCTCGTGCCTCTGCTCGGGCGAGGAGGCGAGCGACGGCCCGGCGAATCCGTCGCAGAGCTCGAGCACGTTGCTGCGCAGCATGAGCAGCGGCTGGGGGGCGCACCTGTCCGAGGATCCAGATTCCGTTGAAAATATAAAGCTGACGGAAGACCAGTTCTTCGCCGTCATTCAGGACGGCGCCGTCCAGCGGATCTTGGAGCAGTTGGACATAGAGACGGGGGGGGCCGGCAATTCCTTCCTCTTCGACATCATGGACGCGAATGGCAACGGCCTGGTGGACGTGGCGGAAATGTTAGATTTCCTGATGAAGCTGAGGGGGGGGCCCATGAAGGTCGACATGGTCGCCCCCTCGGTGGCCCTCCGCGGGGTGCAGCAGGAACTCCGGCGCCTGGCGTCGAGGCTCGAGAAGCCAGCGGCGGCCGACTCACAGGGCGCCAGCCCCAAGGTCCACGCCCCCAGATGGGGTCCGAGTAGACGGGTTCGGAGGATCGCGCCGCATTGCCGATGCATCGGCGAGGCGGCTCGATGCGGAGCCTGACTTTCTCCACGCCGACGGCGCCGATGCGTCGCCGACGTCCCCGGCGCATCGCCGATGCATCGCCGATGCATCGCCGATGCGGCGCGATCCTCCGACCCCAGCTGTGTGGACCCCATTCGGGAGGCTCCCACCAGGCCAGCCCCAGCAGGTGAGCGGGCGGCCCATGGCCGCCCCGCAGGCCCCAGGGCGCGGCGCGGCGCCGCGTTCCGCCCGGGCCCTGCGGCGCACCCGCGCCGCCGCTCGGCGCCGCCGCAGTGGCGGCGCGCTTCGCCGGCGGGGCCGCCGCGCCGCGGGCTGCCATCGCCAGGGGCGGCCGTCGCCCGCGCCGTCGGGCGCGCTCGCGGAGGCGGCGCGCGGACGAGGCCCAGGCCGGCGCCGGTGGCCCGGGGGGAGGCCGCGCGCCGATCGGAGGAGGTGATCACCACAGGGTGCCACCAGCGCTGCCCTTCCCTATCGCTGCCGCCGGCTGGGGCTGCCTCGAAGGAGCCCTGGCACCGGGAGGGGCCCGCGGAGCAGCGGCGTCGGCTGCTGTCTGCCGCCCCGAAGCTCGAGGGCAGCGCGGTGTGCCGAAGTCCGGCTCGCCGCCGCCTGCCCGCCGCCGCCGCCGTCTCGGCGGCGCGCGCGCTCGGGGCTTGCCCGCCCGTCGGGGGGGCTGCTTCCCCGCCGGCCCTCGGAGCAGTGCAGGGGTCCGCTTGCGCATCCGAGGCGGGGAAGGTCCAGGCAGGGTCGTGATGCCCATGGCTAGGCTGAAGACTGAGAGCGCTCCCTCGCACATTGGCGTGGTAGCGCCGAGGATGAAAGCCATCTGCTGGGATGGTGAATCTCCAAGTCTGTCTAAATCAATACAAAAGGATGTGCATGTGTGTGTATATATCTATACCTATACGACCACCCTTCGGGTGATAAGGAGGTGAGGGGGGGGAGGGGCCAACGTCGCACTCGATCGATCTCACTATCGAACTCACTACCGATCTCACAATCGATCTCAATCGATCGATCTCACGATCGATCTGATTATCGATCGCACAATCGATCTCACAATCGATCTCACCATCGATCTCACAATCGGTCTCGCTATTGATCTCACAATCGATATCACAATCGATCTCACAGTCCATCTCACATTCGATCCGACTATCGATCCCGCTATCAAACTCACAATCGATCTCATTATCGATCTCACACTCGGTCTCACAATCGATCTCACTATGGATGTCACAATCGATCTCGCAATCGATCTCGCATTCGGTCTCACTATCGATCTCACTATCGAACTCACTTTCGATCTCAGTATCGGTCTTACATTCGGTCCCACTATCGAACTCACTATCGATATCACAACCGATCTCACAAGGTCTCACCATCGATCTCACTATCGAACTCACTATCGATCTCATTATCAATCTCAATCGATCGATCTCACAATCGATCTGACTATCGATCTCACAATAGATCCCACAATCGATCTCGCATTCGGTCTCGCTATCGATCTCACTATCGATATCACAATCGATCTCACATTTGATCTCCCATTCGGTCTCACAATCGATCTCACTATCGATACCACTATCGATCTCACAATCGATCTCACAATCGGTCTGACATTCGGTCTCACGTTCGATCTCACAATCGATATCACTATCGACCTCACTATCGATCTCACATTCGACCTCACTATCGATCTCACTATCGATCATCGAAGTAAAACATCAACATCATCATCATCACCATCAACATCATCATCATCATCTCATCATCATCATCATCATCATCATCATCATCGGGATCATCATCATCACCATCATCACACCGGCGGGACACCGCGGGCCCCCGGCCGCTCGGAAGGGCGACATTTGGTGCGGCCGCGCCTCAGCCACAGGAGACACCAGCGGGACACCGGCGGGACACCGCGGGGCCCCGGCCGCCCGGAAGGGAGGCATTTGGTCCGGCCGCGCCTCAGCCACAGGAGACTTTCTCTCGCCCGCCCACGCAGCTTCGCCTCGCCCGCACGCACGGCACGCACGAACACGAAACCGAAATCGATTTCCCAGTAGGGGGGCTCTCCGTTCCACTTCGATCTCACCCCCTCACCTCCGATATCTTATACATCTACACAAGATGTTACCGGCTCGCTTCGCTTCGCCTTTCAAATCTTGGTCGCATGGCGCCAGACAGGCGCGCTGGGACGGGCAGTCGTCGCTGCCGCGGTGCGCCTCGATAATGGGGCCATCGGACTCGTGTGGCTCATAAAGCTCGTCTGTGATCATAGGACTCTTGCGGCTCGTCTGGCTCTTAGGTTGATACGGTCCAAAGGGCTCATATTCCGTAGGGCTCATCGGGTCCAGAAGTCGTCTCGCAAGGCTCGCAGACCTCATGGGGCTCATAGGGCTCATGACGTTCATAGGGATCATGGGGCTCGCAGGGGTCATCGGGCTGATGGGGGTGATGGGTATCATAGGGCCCATGAGGCTAGGGCTCGTAGGGCTCGTGAGGCTTGTAGGGCGCATAAGGCTCATATGGCTCATAAAGCTCGTGTGTGATCCTCGGGCTCTTGCGGCTCGTACAGCTCTTAGGTTGATACGGGGCAGAGGGCTCATATTCCGTCGGGCCCATAGGGTCCATAGGGCTCGTAAGGCTCACCGGGTTCATGGGGCTCATCAGGCTCATGACGTTTATAGGGCTCATGGGGCTCGCAGGGGTCATAGGGCTGATAGGGGTGATGGGGCTCATACGGCCTAGAAGGCGCGTAGGGTTCATACGGCCATAGGGCCCATATGGCTTTTTTCGTGCTCAAAGGGCTCGTAAGGCTCGTTGGGCTCATAGGGCTCATGGTGCTCACAGGGATCCGAGGGCCGAAAGTATGTAGGTGGTGCTATAAGAGCTCCCCAGGCACGTGAGGCCCACATGGTTTGTCGAGCTTCCGACGCTCGAAGACGGCACCAGAGACTCGCAGGAGCGCCCGAAAACGCTCCGAGAGACCTTCAAAAGGGTCCAAAGACGGCCCAAGAGAGCTTCAAACCTGCCCAAGAGGCGTCCAAACGAGCTCCAAGAGAGGCTCAAGAGGGGGAGCACGAAATGGCAATTCGATTCCGCTGCCCGAAGAGATTTCCAGAAGCTCCCCAGAGGCCTCCGAGGAGCTCTAAGAGGACCCCAAGATGCCGCAAAGAAGCACCCTAGAGGCCTCGAAACTGCCTCCAACAGGCCCACGAAAGGCCTACCACGATATCCCAACGAACATCCGAGATGTCTCTGGTGCCTCCTTGAACAATCGCTTCCGAGCATGAGGGACTGTCACGGTGGCGGGACCTGCCGCAGGCAGTTGGATAGCTTTCGAAATTGCCTATGACTGTGCTTCGCTTGCTGCTTTCTTTGAGCGTTTGAGGGCGGTCTCCCAATCAGTGCACTTAGGAAGTAAGGCCCCGCACTGTTCCTCCAGATACTCGGCCTTCCTTTTTGGTTTCATGCGCATTGCTTCCTAGTCCAAAGCCACTTTTGCTATTTTCCTGTGTGTCGCCAGCGGCACGGACTCACGTACCATCCTGATGACGATGCCTCGAGCCCCCTTGTGGAATCGATCACGACGTTCGGGCCAACCTGGCTCAGAAAGCCCCCCTCGCCCGACTTGCTGAACGCTTGACCCGAAAGTGGCCCCGAGACGGCACCGAGACGCCCCATGGACCCGGCATTTTGACGACCGCTCAAAATGCGGGGTGCTGGGGGTCTCTTCGGGCCATCTTGGGCCGCTCTAGGGCCGCTTCGGGGCCCCGGAGAAGGCCCCGAGAGGGCCCCAAGCGAGCTCAAGAGGGGTCCAAGAAGGCCCCAAGAGCAGCTCCATGTGGGCCCTCGCACCCGGTATTTTGACAGCTGCTGAACATACCGGGTGCGGGGTCCCTCTTGGAGCCCTCCTGGGGCTTTTTGGGGCCGCTCCTGGGCTACTCTTAAAGTGCCTGGGGCTCGGCGACGGCCCCGAGCGAGTCCCAAGCGGGCCGAAGAGAGCTTCAAGAAGGCCCCACGAGCGGCCGAAGAGCATTGCATGATCATGCAGTAACTAATCTTAGGGTTCTCTTGCAGCGCCTCTCTTGGGCCCTGGAGAAACCTCCGAGAGAGCCCACGAGCCCTCCCAGATGACATATGAGGGCCTCGGAGGCGTGTGGGTCATTGGGCACAGAATGGGCTGAGAAGCTCGTAGTGCGCAGGGCTTGTGGGGCCCGTGGGGCTGATAGGGCCGATGAACCTCATCGGTCCCGCGAGGCTCATTTGGGGGTCATCTGGTGGGTCTGTTAGGGCTCATTAAAATCATAGGGCTTATAGGGTTCGTAGGGCTCATAGGGCTCTTAGGCTTCTTGTGGCTCGTAGGGCTCGTAGGGCTCATAGAGCGCATATGTGACATGGGACTCATGAGGGCTCATAGGGCTCATGGGGCTCCTGAGGCTATCGGGCTTATAGGGCTCATGGGGCTCATAGGGTTCATATGGCTCATATGGCCCATAAGGTTCATAGAACGCATAGATCTCATGAGACACTTGAGGGCTCACAGGGCTCATGGGGCTCATAAAGCTCATTGGGCTCATAGGGTTCATAGGGCTCCCAGGGCTCATCGGGCTTAGATGGCTCGTAGGCGTCATGGGGCTCACCAGGCTCATGGGGCTCATAGGGGTCATAGGGCGCATAGGGCTCGAGGGGCTCATGAGGCTCAGAGGGTTCATGGGCTCATTGGGCTCGCAGGGTTTTGTGTTCACAGGGCTCATGGGGCTCATGAGGCCCATAAGGGTCATAGGGCTTATAGGGCTCATGGGATTCATTGGACGCATAGAGTTCATGTGCCCCATAGGGCTCATAGCGCTCGTAGGGCTCATAGGACTCATGGGTGCCATAGGGCCCATCGGGTTCCTAGTGCTCATAGGGCTCATAGGGCTCGTAGGGCTCAGAGGGCTCAGAGGGGCGCATAGGGCTCGTTGGGCTCATAAGGCTCGTGGTGTGCATAGGGCTCGTAAGAATCATAGGGCTCACAGGGCTCATAGGGCTCAAAGTGCTCATAGGGTTCATACGGCGGCTCATAGGGCTCATAGGGCTCACAGAGCGCGTAGGGCTCATAGGGCTCATGAGGGCTCATGGGGCTCGTGAGACTCATAGAGCTCATGAGGGCTTAGAG